TTTTTTTTTTTTTTTTTTTTTTTTTTTTTTACAGTGCATTCTCATCCATATCTCACTAGAAATAAGTTTTAGTTGGAGGAATAACGTGAAAACAATGTAAGAAAACAAAAATGTTTCAAACGATAAAGGTTTTTTTGGTGTTTTTTGTGCAGTGCATTCTCATCCATATCTCACTAGAAATAAGTTTTTGTTGGAGGAATAACGTGAAAACAAGGTAACAAACATAAATAATTTTTTTGTTTTAAATCATCACTCAGATTTATCAAACTTAACTAAATGCAATAACAAAAATGAAAATGGAGATGTGTGCAACGGTAGGAATAACTCTTAAGTTATTTTGATGGTCCGTTGAAAAGCGGGGTACATTTATTTTAATTCGTTTAAGGTTGCATACAATAGTAGAAAATATGTAAAACTAGGCATAAGGGGAAAAAAACCTGGGGAAAAAAAGACGAAAAAAAAAGAACGAACGTATCGAAAAGACGCCTTCGTCAGTTTACAGTACAAACCAAGAATAACAGATGAAATAGTGTAACCAAGAGAACGCCTAGGGGTAGATAGTTAACTGATGAAAGAGGTAGATAGTTAACTGATACGACACAAGGGCAATTCTTGCAACGGCCACGTTCCACATGGCTTGGCTCCGAAATTGGGAGTGGGTGGCACGAACAATTTCTGTCCTGCCTGAACACAGTGAGAAGAGGATTTAGAAAATGGCCTGGCTGTCAGGGAGTCAAGTTGAATTGCAAGGTATTTTTTAAAAAAACTGCTCTGCCTAGAGTACACGGAGTAAAACATAAATATTTATGAAATGATATCTCGCTCCGTAGCCTTGATTTAAAGCTACAATTTAAAAATGAGTTCTGGTTGATTAACATGTTAGTTTTTGTATCTTTTCTCTAAGAGACAAAGTAAAAATGGCAAGACTCTCTACGTTACTGGCCATCCTGTCCACCCTTGTGGCAGTGTCAACAGGCGTCATCTGGATGACCAATTTGAACGAGGAGTGGACATTCGAGTGTCCGAAAGGCCGAACAATTAGATCTTTGATGTCGTCCTACGAAGGCAATGACAGAGTCTGGAACTTCACGTGCGACCTGACGGACCCTAAACTCAACATCAGCGTGTGTGATTGGAGTGGCTATATCAACGACTACAATGCACAGTTTCGCTACCAGTGTCCTAGCGACGGCATAATCACGGGTAAGAGAGAAGGCCATTATTACAATCGCACATAATGAAGCAGAAAATAGTGTGAGTTAAATTGTAACAAAAAGTGTATTATTAAAAATAATATTTAATATTAGGGGCTTAACAGGGTTTTTAACACAGGTTTCTGGTATTTTGAGAAATAGGCCTAAAGACAATCATACAACCTACCTGCTGGCCTTTAAAAATAGTCCTAGATACAGTCTTACGTCCTACCTGCCGGCCTTTACACGATAGTCCCAGAGACATTTCTACACCTTACCCGCTGACTTCTAACACTAGTCCTAGAGACAGTCCTACACCTAACTCGCCGGACCTTAAACGATAGTCCTAGAGACAGTCCTACACCTAACTCGCTGACCTTTAAACAATAGCCCTTCAGACAAATTGCACGCGGTTAAACCCTAGTACAATTATAATTTGTTTTAGAGTTAAATACAGTGCAGCGCCATTTAAAAAAAGAACAACTTTAATAAATTAATTATCTTTATACGAGAAAAATCTTTAGTAAATATTTAAATGTCATGCTAAAGCTTTCAGTTCGTTTAATCTACTCTTCAGGAATGTCATCCCATTTCGAGGTTGGCGTCCTCGACAGAAGGTACCAGTTCCTTTGTTGCTACCCAGGGGCCTACGCGACGCACGCTTGCCAGTACACCCCGGCTCTCAACATACAGGGTCAACTGCTGAGCTATCGTCTCCTGGAGTCCTGGTACATCCGAGGGGTCAACACAGAATATTCTAGCAGTGACCGCTTGCTGAGCCTCAACATCTGCCGGCTGGACAAGTATGTCGCAACATGCTATTACTGAGGGCTCTCTTCACACAGATGTAATCGGGGTTCATTTTTAATTTTTAAACAATGCTCTTCAAACTTTACCATCTAACTAGTGACTAGCAATTTTTGTTAATGGTCATAAAAACATGTAAGTGTATTAGATTAAATAAACATTTGATTTACTAAGGTTAAGTTTGGTATTCTTTATTGTAGTTATGCGCTTCTTGTGTTCCTTCCATAAACGTTAGCTTTTTATCAAATAGATCAATGTGACACTAGATTATGAGATTAGGTACATGGTGAATTAAGTACTTATTATAACGGCTAATTACGTCACACAATCCCGAGACCATATTTACTACCTCAAGATCTTCAAACATAAAACCAGTCCATGCAAATCGTTTGGTACATATATTATGTGGTACATTTTTGAAGGTGATACTCTCGCGCAAGTGTTGTCTGAAATCTATATTGTGCCAGAGATTAGTTGGTCTGGAGCGAAGCTGATGCGTTCGACCTAAGCTTCAGAACACGGCGCTCAGTTCACGACAGAATGACAACCCGATCAAAGGGTTTAGGCGAGTCAAATCCCAGATACCATGGGGCAGGCTGCCAACTATCTCTTTTCTTATGTCTAGCACAAATTATTCCATTGATACAGGGCTGGAACCATTTCCTATTTCGTATCAGTCTGTGTTGGGGGACAGGCAGGCGTTTTCTAATTCTACTGATTTTGTGCGACAAGGACATCCGACATTTTCGGGTTGAAGAGCAGATCTTCTCTCGCTCTGGTGACGATCGACAGGCCGGCGCAGGACCAAAAAAAAAAAGATTTGCCTTGAAACTTGTGAAAAGAGGGATCACCGCTCCGAAACGTAGGTATAATGCAAGGGAAAGTATGTGGCATTAGACAGAAGGCGCAGGAAATTACCAAGGTCCTCCACCAACATGGAGTGACCCTTAGCCAGGAAACGTTCCACGATAAGCCGCTCCACACCACAGGTTTTCAATATAGCAATGAGGCAACTGCTGGCGATGTCGAGGCCTTGCCACAGCTGTAAGAAACGGCCTCACCGTTGACATCGCAGAAGAGAAGACCTACAGCACGGCTTACATACTCCCTGTAAGCGTATTCAAAAAACGACACTGCTTTACAGGGACGAAACTCTGCTGGGAACCCAATTATGTTATCTACAGGGGGTATTAAGCTCTTCGGAAAAAACATTATAGCTGGAGATTTTATCGTGCAATCCCCGACTAGGGCTATGCAGAACGGAGCGCCACGGGGCGATACGCTGAGGTGACCATCAGGTTACGAGACGAGGAGAACGAAATTAGAGTGTTAGCACATACTAGGGGTCCTTGGCGATATTGGTAGCGACCATCTCCCATCACATTTAGAGACAGCAATAGGGGCAACCATCACGCGTTTCGAGATGATAAATTTGCATTTCCGTCAGGCAAACTGGCAGAAGAACGAGACCTTAAAAGAGACCGAGGTCAGTTCGGTTGACGTCAAAGCCGATGACATCAGTGTCGTGTATGAGAAATGTATTAGCACTGTTCTTGAGGTCGCTAGGAAGTTAATCTCAAGAGTGCACGGGAAATTGAACATTTTACCCTTATTGGAATAAGAGTGAACGAAGATATGTGCGGAAGCTCTGAAAAAAAAAAAAGCCTGCAAAAGGAAGACGCCTGCTGCTTTTGCGGCATGCAACAAACTAACCGACAGAGACCGCCACAGAACCAGGTTATCCTCTTCGTTCAAGCCTTTAATACAAACTCTAGTTGAGAAATCGCACTGTTGGGGGGGGGGTGTTGTTTGATCTCCAAGACGCCTACGTTATGGTCTGGACGACGGGCTTCGTGTACAAAACAGAACCAGGTTATCCTCTTCGTTCAAGCCTTTAATACAAACTCTAGTTGAGAAATCGCACTGTTGGGGGGGGGGGGTGTTGTTTGATCTCCAAGACGCCTACGTTATGGTCTGGACGACGGGCTTCGTGTACAAACTACAGAAGCATGAGGTCGCCACAAACTTATCCGGTTGTATCCATTCATTTCTATCAAAACGTTCCATCGCTTCCAGAATTGGGGGACTACGTATCCAACATGGATACACTAATATGGTGACCTCCCTCAGGGTGGGCTTTAAGCTGCACCTTGTTCGTGGCGTTTCTCCATGATCTGCAGTCAAAGACGATAACACAGAACTCTATGCTCACCGATTATCGGGTAATATAGAGTTCGGGGGAGAATTTTCAATAATTCAAGAACCGACTACAAGAGGTTCTCAGTCCAATAGAATCCAACGCTGCGAAATGGTGTTCAACGCGGAGATTGTGATCCGACAATTTACCAACATAATATTAAGTATAATTTCATATTTACTGCGTTACTGAGGCTAAAAAATTCAAAAAACTATTTTGGGCCTTTTGTCCATTATTTGTTCTTTTGATCACTCTCCATCATTCCCAATATCATATTCTTTATACATTATATTATTCAGTCAATAACGTTATATTTTTATAACGGTGTCTAATTCCTCTCACTAAGCTCATACCGTCACTTACCTTTATACATCTTGACCTCTCTCCATTTTCTATGTCATCCACGCTGTCTACAATGTAACAGTGTCTGCTCAGACATAGGCATGTTGTCACGCGATGTCATCCACGCTATCTACCCTGTCATCGTCATGCTGCTTACATCATGCCATCCAAGATGTCTACAATGAATCAGTGTCTGCTCAGACATAGGCATGTTGTCACGCGATGTCATCCACGCTGTCTACCCTGTCATCGTCATGCTGCTTACATCATGCCATCCAAAATGTCTACAATGAATCAGTGTCTGCGCAGTCATAGCCATGTTGTCACGCGATGTCATCGATGCACTCTATAATGTAATCATTTACACCCCTGTCATCGTCACGTTCTTTACATACTGGCATCCATGCTGTCTACGATGTAAACAATGTCTGCTCTGACATAGATCTACGATGCAAACAATGTCTGCTCTGACATAGATGTGGTGTTACCCGATGTCAGCCACGCTGTCTACAATGTAACAGTGCTTACCCCTGTCACCGTCATGTTGTCTACACCGTGTCAGCCATACTGTCTAAAATGTAAAACTGACTACCCCAAACTGACCATCACAATATCCGCATCTAATGACACTTTGACATCACTATTTCCGTCACTAATGATGACAGATTGTACACACCGGAGCCTGGTATCCGTAATCTATTGCATGCATACGTCATTAAAGGCATGGCCCCCCATATTCTTCAAATTACAAACAGCGAGTCTTAAAATATTGCTCTTTAAAAATAAAACACAGCAATAAGTTTGGGCAGTAAGAAATAATCTGCTTCCTATGTAGTATAAAAATCTAAATTGTTTTCGAAAGGAAAATGTTTTTTTTTTTTAATTTATATGGTGTGAAAAATATTACATAAAGGTTAATTTTAATGCTTTAATTGTTAGAGCTCCCTTAAGTCGCCTATGGAATAAAATGAATATTGAATATTAGGAAATATAAGAAAACAGAATTCATTGTGCTACACCCAGCATATGACTGGTCATCTGGTTGGTTGACAACCCCTTGAACAACCTTTGGAAGAGGGACAGGATGACAATGTACAGATCTGCGAAATCGAAACAAACGAGGACTCAAGAAACGGTCAATGTGTTGGTCACTAAGTTGGCCAGTGTGTTGGTCAGTGTTTTAGTCAGTGTGTTGGTCAGTGTTTTAGTCAGTGTGTTGGTCCTTGTTTTAGTCAGTGTGTTGGTCAATGTGTTGTCAGTGTGTTGGTCAGTGTTTTGGTCGCTGTGTTGGTCACTGTGTTGGTCACTGAGTTGGTCACTGAGTTGGTCACTGTGTTGGTCACTGTGTTGGTCAATGTGTTGGTCAGTGTTTTGGTCCCTGAGTTGGTCACTGTGTTGGTCACTGAGTTGGTCAATGAGTTGGTCACTGTGTTGGTCACTGTGTTGGTCACTGTGTTGGTCACTGTGTTGGTCACTGAGTTGGTCAATGTGTTGGTCACTGAGTTGGTCAATGTGTTGGTCACTGTCTTGGTCAATGTGTTGGTCACTGAAATGGTCAGTGTGTTGGTCACTGTGTTGGTCACTGTGTATTATAAGCAGTCCGTTATGGTTGGGATTCTTTTAACTTGCTTACGATTCATGAAAATATTTATCATGTAATGTAATATGAGTTTTATTCAATATTTGTAGGGAACCGTTTCTTTCATTATCATTGGTTCATATGATGATCAAATTTGATGTAAAATCTTGCTGAAAAAAACTTGTTCATTTTCATTTTATCAACTAATTTTATAGCTGAAAGTGTAATAGTTTATTTACTTCTAATTTCAAAATCGTTTTTTTTAAGGCAAGGAATTTAAGCTGGACAAGGTGTTCGTCTTGTGACACATTGATCAATTTGAGGACCCCTGGTTCCGACGCATCATGAATTCTAGGAACAACATGCCATTGGATGATTTATGGTTGTTATTTCAAGGTGGCTCCCGCAGGTTGGGGGTGGGGGGTGGGGGTGGGTGGGGGGCACCTCGTGCAGGAATGATTGGGGTTTGTTTACGTCGCACTAGAAACGTCAACGATTTGTACCTGCCAACAAATAGGCACCAGGTCATTTTGTTTGTACTCTACCAGCGTCAACCTAGTGGTCAGGCATCCGGGTCATTCGGTTTGTTGTAAACTGGAGTGAACCTAATGGCCAGGCATCGGGTCATTCGGTTTGTTGTAAACTGGAGTGAACCTAATGACCAGGCATCGGGTCATTCGGTTTGTTGTAAACTGGAGTGAACCTAATGGCCAGGCATCGGGTCATTCGGTTTGTTGCAAACTGGAGTGAACCTAATGGCCAGGCATCGGGTCATTCGGTTTGTTGTAAACTGGAGTGAACCTAGTGGCCAGGCATCGGGTCATTCGGTTTGTTGCAAACTGGAGTGAACCTAATGGCCAGGCATCGGGTCATTCGGTTTGTTGTAAACTGGAGTGAACCTAATGGCCAGGCATCGGGTCATTCGGTTTGTTTTAAACTGGAGTGAACCTAATGGCCAGGCATCGGGTCATTCGGTTTGTTGCAAACTGGAGTGAACCTAATGGCCAGGCATCGGGTCATTCGGTTTGTTGTAAACTGGAGTGA